TCTGGTCCAAAGCTTTTAAGGGCCACCATGGAAGTGTTCCATACGTCCCTTGGCAGCCATAAGAACTCTAAGAGTAGCTCAGAGCTTTCAGTAAAGGGAAGTGCATGTGCTTTGCATTTAAGGAAGAGTAGCCAAGAAGTGCTCTCTGATGAAGAGGTAGTAGCCAGTCCCAGTATATACACATGTGTGTGTATGTGTGTGCATGTGTGTGTATGCATGTGCGTGTACATGTGTGTGTGTGCATGTGTGTATGTGTTCAGGGTGTGCTTCTCTATGACAGTGTGCATCCATTGCTGAATGGAGGCACCATGAGTCCTTGGGCTACCTGGACTCAAGGGAAGAGGCAAAACTTATCAAAAACAAGCCGATTGTTTTTCAATGTGTGTGTGAATGTATGGGGTGGGGGGCTGGGTCCTTGTATAATTATTCATCCATTTATTCATTCATTTCACCAACATTGAGTAGGCTGTGTATCTCAGGCACTGCAACAGCTATAGGGTAAGAAGGTAAAGACGGCATAAATGGTCTTTAACCTGACAAAGCTCTTGGCCTAAGGAAGGAAAGAGTGATAGAGTGATAAAGGGCTGTTTCCAGCACAGCAGGGAATATGCAACAGTGGAATCTCAGAAGGTTTTATGAGCACACAGGAGAGCAACGCTGAGATCAGGCAGGGCTGAGTGACGGCTTCCTGGTGAGATGACACCTGAGTATCACATTGAATATAAGGTGGACATTGTGAGAGTGCAATTCATCAGGTACCTTTGCCTCAGAGAAAGACGAAACAGAAAAATTAAACAAGATAAATCTCCACTAGTAAGGAATGATGTGGTTTCCAAAGAGGAAATATTCAGAGTTTTAGAAAGATAAACTTTGCTTCTGTATGATTAGAAATATTCGTTTGCCTAAAGGCTAGGGATTGTAATAAATCTAGTAAGTTCATTTACTCAGTCATTATATATCCCATTTCACACACATACATATTATACTATACATTACATAAAACATGAACATTACATTACATTCACATATGTGTGCATATTAAATACTTGGAAGCCTATTATGTGCCATGCAGCTTTTGGAATGAAACATCAGCTCTGCTGTCCTCCTTCCTCCAACTATAGCCTGAAATTTAAAAAAATCTTCCAGTTACTTTGACCTCAGGATCACGGTGTTCCCTTAGCTTTTGCCTATGCAGAATTTTCTAAAGTAGCCCCAATTTAAGTTGTTCTGACACATTGTTTCTGTAAATACACTTTAATTTACCAAACACCATTTCCCAATTGGTGATATATAAACTACAATCAGGAGTTTATTCGTAGCTACATGTACTTGAAAACAATAAAACTACTAATTTATCACAAATGTCGAGCATTTAAAAAATCTACTATGTGGAAGTGAAAGAGGTAGACTCCTTTGGAGCTTGGAAGATGTGGCTCTCTTAGCAGCCCATTGATTCTTCTCGTGACCCCCTCTCACTCCAAGCTAACTCCTTCCTAAATGAGACACCCCTTTCTCTGGCTTTCTGGAAGTGTTTTCTTGCTTGCTGAGATACTCCGCACCCAAGTCGGAGGGTCTTTTTAAGTTCCTACTTTCAGTTTCTGGACCAAAATTTTGCTTGTTCTTTAATTACATAACAGAGGAATGACTCTGGTGTCTGCAGTTGCTATTGAATGAATTGATGTTTTTTCCCTCTAATTATTCTCTGCTTGCTACCTAGAAAAGTATTTGTAAAGTAAATGAAAGAAGGATGAGTAAAGTAAGAACAATTCTACTAGCAATATCTTACTTTTGTATACTTTTTTACTTTATGAACCACTTTTACATATATTTTCCATTTGGTTTTACCCTCATAGTAATTCAACTAAATAAAGACTCACTAAGATCACCCATCATGAGCAAAACACTTTAACAGCAGTGGCTGTTAAAGATGAAAGAAATGCAGACTCTGACCTCAAAGAGTTCTCCATGTGCTGGGAAAAATTAAAAGTGTGGTTAATTTCAATAAGGTGTTTTCCTATAGAGTATATGAGAGCTTAGAAGGAAAATTTCTGATTCTGAAACTGCAGCAAGCAGTGTTCCTGATCCACTTTAGTGGACAAGGGAAACATGGCTGAGAGGAAAAATGAGTTGGTCAAAGGAATGGCAGAACTGACAGCAGAATCTGATTCTTCAAACTTTTTTCTGTCTCCCCATCTTTGGAATTTTCTTCTTCCATCTGAATTAAAAGTGGGGTTAATTCAAAGTTGGAATCTCCAGGATCTGAAGTTGCTCAGTTTTGCCTCCTCTAAACCCTTACGGAGCACATATCTGTCATGTTTCTACAAGTTTGTAGACTTGTAATGGTGCAATTCCTCACAGTAATTGCACATTTAGTCTCCATCACTTGAAAGAAACACATATTGACAGAAAGCAAGTATAGATTCAATGTCACTTTTAAAGATTGTGTTTCAATATCAAAGACATAGAAACAACCTAGATACCCATCAATGGTGGACTGGATAAAGAAAATGTGGTACATATACTCCATAGAATACTATGCAGCCATAAAAAAGAGTAAAGTCATGTCATTTGCAGCAATTCAGATGGAGCTGGAAGCCATTATCGTAAGCAAATTAAGACAGAAACAGAAAACCAAATACCATATCTTCTCTTATAAATGGGAGCTGAACATTGATTGAATATACATGGACACAAAGAAGGGTATTGTAGACACTGGGACCTACTTGAGGGTGGAGGGAGGGAGGAGGGTGAGGATTGAAAAACTGTCTATCAGGTATTAGGCTGATTACTTAGGCGACAGAGTTATCTGTACACGAAACTTGATAGAGTCACTCAAGAAGTTTAAAGTCAGACTAGGATAAGAATCTTCAGGGTCTTTATCCCGGTCACTGTCTCCAGAAATGGGACCTGGGATAAAAGTCACTAAGGAAAAATGCTTCCAATAATAGCAGATATGTCCCCAAATTCCCTCTTCCAATGCCCTTCACATTGTTGAGATTGGAACAAGGGCTTTCTTAGACAATTTCCTGTTTGAAAATTCTACCATCATATTGTCTAGATCAGCGTTACTCAGATATTAATGTGCACAGGAATCACCTGGGTATCCTGCATAAATGCAGATTCTGATTTAGGAGGTCTTAGCCTGAGACTTTGCATTTCCAATAAGCTACCAGGAGATGCCAGTGCTGTTTCAGGGAGGACACTTTGGGTTTCGTTTGTTTGTTTGTTTGTTTGTTTGTTTGTTTGTTTGTTTGTTTTGAGACAGAGTCTCACTCTGTTGCCCAGGCTGGAGTGCAGTGACACAATCTCCGCTCACTGCAACCTCCGCCTCCCGGGTTCTAGCGATTCTCCTGCCTCAACCTCCTGAGTGGCTGGGATTACAGGCACACACCACCATGCCTGGCTAATTTTTTTGTATTTTTAGTGTTTTTGTATCACCGCACTGGCCATGATAGTCTCAATCTTCTGACCTCATGATCCACCCACCTTGGCCTCCCAAAGTGCTAGGATTACGGGCGTGAGCCACTGTGCCCAGCCTCAAGAAGCACACTCTGAAGAGCAAAGAACCACAGGCAAGGCTGTGGGGCCGGTCAAGCTGCATGATGCTGGATTCCATGGGTGATGGCTGTGAAGGCACAAAGCAAGTCATATCTTCCCCAAAACTGACCAGAGACCCCACTTCCAAGGAAATCCTATGAAAAACAGGCAACAGCCTGCTACAGGATATTGATTATTTTTAGTTTTTTAAGAGGGGAATGTGCAGAGATGAGAAAGTAGCAGGAAGGAGTCCCTGGGGAGGACACTGAGTGACTCCTGTGCTGATTATTTTAAGAGAAGAAGCTGAGGAAAAGTATCTGCATCTCAGAAGGAGATAATTACTTCCCACTTAGCTCTTCAGTTTTTCAGGAAGTTTGCAAGGAGGGCAAGTAATTAGTCTCTTGAGAAGTGAAAGAGACAAAGTTCTTGGATGCAAAACTTTTCCCTACTGGCCTTTACAGCAGAATCAGAAGTATCTGCCCACTTTTGGCGAGGCCCACAAATGCAAACATGTACTGTGGTAGTTGGGGGGAAAAAAAAGCTACATTAGAAATCAAGCTAAATGGCAGAGACAGTAAGACAGTGTTGCCTCCAGTCTCCGTGTCCTGGAAGGCTTCCCCTCCAACCATTCTTCGCAGTCTTGGCCCTAGGGGGTGGCTCCCACACTGCGACTTCACACTGCAAGTTATGAGCAGGGCCTCTCCTCTAGGGATCTGTGGACGGAGCCAGCTTCAGAAGTGAGAGGAAGCTTGTATCTACTCTTTGTCCTGCTTTGCTAATTCTAGCCCAGCCTTGTTGTGACTCAGTCTAGTATAAGGAAGCAGACCTGGAGCTCTTCCTGCTCCCACCATCTTCCCATGACTTTCCACGCCGTCCACGGATTTCCAAGGAATGCCTCTTTTATCAGCCCTCCCACCCCATGACGCACAATGCCAGTCCCACCCCATTTACTCCTTCTCGCCTGACTTCTACCATCCTGGTAATCTGGCCAGGCTCCTCTCAGGAAACCCAACCTCAGAAGGCCTGGGCAGCTGGTCCTCCTTCTGGAACTTGGATCTAAGGTTCTGCAGTAGAAGGGACATAGTGGCCCATGAGAAGGGGAAGGCAGCAAGTCTGAGAGTGCGGATGCAGATCAGCTTTCTGCTGCTCTCAAGTGCGTGAAAAAAATAAGTCCTTCATGACTTCCTATAAGAGGGTTGGAGGAGTGGCTCCCCGAGAGCCACTTCTGTTGAAAGGCAAGAGGCTTTGGGGCCAGATGGAAGAAGTACACCAGGCAGCCTGGGTGTGAGGGGTGCTTCCATCCAGGAGCAGTCAGTCCAAGAGAGGGGAACTAACATAGGCACATGACTCCTCCTGTGTTGGGGTGCCAGGCCTCTCTGCTCTTCTTAGAGCACCTCCCATTTTCAGAACCCTATCCTAGACCTTGAAACCAGGTCCTGGAAAGGAAACACACCCAAAATAAAAGTCAAACACAAAGCAACTTAAAAGAATGCAAGCAAAACCACAGATCTGAGAAAGAGAGGTTTTAATAGGACATTTTAATAATAGCTAAATTTACTGAACTCATATTACAGTACCAGACCCTGCACTAAGAGTCTTATTTGGACTATCTCTTTTAATTAATATCATCCCATTGTACTTACTCCACATTCCCTATCTGTCCTTCATCGCAGGTGCACAGAAACTTGCCTTTGAGACATTCTAACAGTGTGTGTCCATTAGTTCTCTGCAGGGTAGGAGAAGAAACTTGCCTGAAGATGAGGGAGCAGGAGAGACTGAGAAAAAAGAGATTGAGGAGGGCATGTGGGTGCCCACCTGTGGCAAGTCTACTCCTCATGACTTGCCAGGTGCTCTCCAGCCCTGTTAAAAGCTCACCCTCTCATCTCCAGGCTGCTGGGTCTCTAAGGAAGATCCTTTTGGTCACATCCTCCATGACCTCCTTGACCTTCTCATTCTGGAAGGTGAAGATGAAGGGGTTAAGGAAAGGGGTTACCAGTGCAGTCACCAGGGCCATCACCTTGTTGAGGTGTGTGGAGTGGCCCTTGCCTGGCCTCACGTAGATGAAGATGGCACTGCCATAGCCCAGAACCACCACTGTGAGGTGAGAGGCGCAGGTGGAGAAGGCCTTCTGGCGCCCAGAGAAGGAGGGAATGTGCAGCACTGCAGCCACAATGAGGATGTAGGAGAGAATGATGAGCAGCATGGTGATCATCACAAAGATCAGGGACAGGAAGAGGTCCATGCACTCAATGTGGCGGGTGTCAGAGCAGGCAAGCTTGAGTAGTGGGGCAGAGTCACAGAAGTAGTGGTCAATGACATTAGGGCCACAGAACCAGAGCCGTGTTTTCTGCAGTGTGGGAGAGACAATGGAGAGGAACCTGAACATCCAACAGGCCACCACCAGCTTCACATACACTGGACCGTTCATGATGGTTGGGTAGTGCAGGGGGCGGCAGATGGCCCACGTAGCAATCAAAGGTCTTGAAAGTGAGGATCAGGAAGTTGGTGGAGCCCAGGGAGAAGTAAAAGAAAGACTGAGTTAGGTATTCGGCCAGGGACATGGTCCTGTGAGTGAACAGCAGGTCTGCCAGCATCCTAGGTACCACAGTGGAGGTGGCCAGCATCTCCATGAGGGAGAAGTTGCAGAGGAAGAAGTACATAGGTGAGTGAAGGCGGAAGTCAAGGAAAGTGAGGCTGATGATGGCCAGATTGCCCAGCAGTGTCAGCAAATATATCAACAGGATCACAGCAAATAGAACCTGGAACTCATGGAGATGAGAAAATCCCAGGAGCTCAAACTCCCTGACAATACTGTAGTTACCCACTGTACTTGATGCCCATTCTATGTGACAACTGCAAGGGGTTGGGAAATGTTAGTAGGAGATTGGCATCAACCTCTCTCTTGATCAGGTCCCCACAGTGCTGGCCTGACTCCCCAAGCACACTAGCCTGTGTGCACAGTTGACCCCAGAAGACACATTCTCAAAGGGAAGGAGTTTCCCTGGGGCGAGGAATGGATTACTGGCTGGGATGAGTAGATTTATGACTTGGCCACCTCTACGTTGTCACTACTCTTAAGCTCTTCCTCTTCTGTAGTCTACTCACTGAGTATATTATACAACACACTTAATAAGCTCCAACTCTGTGCAAGACATTTGGCTGGGTCTGAGGGTGAAGTGGTAAACACTTCCTAACTGCCAAATCTAATGGTCTGTTGCCCAAATAATAGCTAATATTTACTGTTCTTTCCCTGTGCCAGACAATGTGCTAGATACCTTACACATTGCTTCCTTCCATCTTTTTTGCCCAATCCTCATCCCCTTTTTTTTCTCTATGACATTTCAGGCTACAGATAACCCATCTTTGAATTCATGCCCACCCTTGACTGCAAGGACCCTGCACTCTTGAATTTCTCCTACCAACCTGGTTTCCCTTGCCTGCCTCCTCTAGCTCCCTGTCTTCTGCCATTTTCTAAACATTGATGTCCCCACATTTCTTATATTTAAAAAAAAAACTCTATTTTCTCCTTCAGAAATCTCACCTTCTTTAACCAAAGCAACCTTTAAAATGTAAATGAATTTCAAATCTGGATTTTGTCCTCCTCTGACCAGCCCACATCTCTAACCACCAGATTGACCACCACCACACATTCAACACGTCTAAAGATACACACATAGTCCTCCCCTCCTGCAAAGACCATGATCATGACTCCCAATTCCCCAGTCATCTGGGCTGGAACCTGGAAGTATCTAGTCCTCCTTTGTTTATCCATAGCCATCACCCTAGTTTCAGGATCTGTTTCCTCTCAACCACTGAAACAACATTCTTAATTTTTTTTTATTGGTAGATTGCTCAATCACCAACTAATCCATGCACGATACTATTGTATTTTATTTTCCTAAGTTATTGTGTCAATAAACTGTTTTTAATAATCTGTCACAATGGGATTTCATTTATAATTACTTTCAAAATCAATCAAACTAGCCAACCATATATCTTGATCCAGAAAAAGAGTAAAAGGATGCATTTTAAATATTAACAATGGCTATATCTGGGTGTGGGTTACAGGAATTTACTTTTTAAACATCTTGTATTGAAATTACATATATTTAATGTGTTATATTAGTCTGTTCTCACAGTGCTATAAGGGCCCACCCAAGACTGGATAATTTATAAAGAAAATAGGTTTAATTGACTTACAGTTCAGCATGGCTGAGGAGGCCTCAGGAAATGTACGATCATGACAGAAGGTGAAGCAAACATGTTCTTCTTCACATGGCAGCAGCAAGGAGAACTGTGGAGCAAAGGAGAGAAAAAGCCCCTTATAAAACTATCAGATCTCATGAGAACTCGCTCTCTATCACGAGAACAGCATGGAGATAACCACCCCCATGATTCAATTACCTTCCACAGGGTCACTCCCACAAGATGTGGGGATTATGGGAAGTACAACTCAAGATGAGATTTGGGTGGGGACATAGCCAAACCATATCAAGTGTACATAGCATGAGGTTTGGATATAAATATACTTAGTAAACTTATTGCTATAGTCAAGCTAATGATTATATCCATCTCTTCATATAGTTACCATTTTTTGTGTGTACTGAGATGACCTAAGGTTGACCCTTTTAGCAAATGTCAAGTATGTAACACAGTGTCACTACCTGTAATCCCCATGCTGAACATTAGATTGCTAGAACTTATTCTTCCCACCCAACTGAAACCTTGTACCCTTTGTTCTTCTATATGTACATATTCATTTCCACATTCTGTTAATTTAAATTTGAATTCTCTTTATATATTATTTTAGTGATAAAAAATATTAACAACAACAATCTCTTCCCTTGTCAGTCAAACCAAGCACAAATTCTCCCCGGCAACTTCTGCCCTGCATGACTCTGCTCATTCACCACCCTCAAAGCTTCACCCTCCCACCTCCTGGTCATACACTTTGTGCTACCACCAAACTGAAACCTTGCTATTGTCCATAAGTTAATTCCACTTTGCCTTCAAACTCTTCCGTTTTTATTCCTGTGCTTAGAATACTTTGTTCTGCCATCTTCACCTGGCAAATTCTTAATCACCTACCAAGGATTATCTCAAATGTCCCCTCCTTTACAAAGCTTCATCCCCTGTGCAGATGTGAAGTCATCCTGCCTGGAGTTTCCAATCAGAAAAGTTAACATGATCCGTCTTGCATTATAATTGTGTACCAGTCAGATTCCACATCCTGGACTCCTAGTATCTCAGTGTCAGGGCTCGTTTTTCACCTTTATAATCCTCAGAATACCAAGCAACATGCCTTACACAGTGTAACTACTCATTACATTTTGGTTAAACAGGCCAGGTGCAGTGGCTTACACCTAAAGTGTAATCCCAGCACTTTAGGAGGCAGACGCGGGAGAACTGCCTGAGGCCAGGAGTTTGAGACCCAGCCTGGGTAACATAGAGAGACTCTATCTCTACAAAGATAAGAAAGTTAGCCTAGTGTGGTGCTGAATGCCTGTAGTCTGAGCTACTTGGAAGGCTGAGGTGGGAGGATCACTTGGGCCCAGGAGATGGAGGCTGCACTAAATTGTGATTATAACACTGCACTACAGCCTGGGCCACAGAGAAGACACTCTCTCAAAACAATAATAATAATAATTTTGGTTAAACGAATGAGCACATATGTTGGGTTTTCATTTCTAGTCCTGAGAAGTAAATTTTTGCCAAATGGAAACTCATATTTTCTTTAATGATGACGTGTATGTGTGTAATGTGGACTTTAACAAAATGTAATGGGGCAATCATGACCGCATAATTTCTTATCAGAAAGCTAAAATGAGACCAAGCCCAGAAAGGCAGGATCCTGGAATCAGGCACACTATTATTTCTGCAGCAAAGTACACAAATATTCACACTCAATGAAATAAAGGCAGAAATGGGTCCATGTTTATTAGTTCAGAACAAGTTAAGCCGTTTAATTGCTTTGACTCAACATTTAAGACAGAACTTTCAGTATTCAAAGCATTTTGATTACATAATTGTGGATAAAGGGTTGGGAATGGGTAGGCCCCATCCACTGAGGACCCACCATGCACTGACTCCCATGCCGCAAGGATGCTGTGAAATCATTACCAACTTCATATCATAGATGATAAAAACTGAGGCTCTGAACATTTAAGGATCTTAATCCCAAGTCATATGGTCAATAAATATTGAGTTGGGATTTGAACCTAGAGTTTACAACTCCAATATCTATTTGTTTTGATATACAAACCCCAAGTATGTGGAATCTGCAAAGCATTCAATCAAGTACAGTGCCATATCAATCTTCAAACACAGGAGTCAAAGCTTATTGCTTATATGTACAAATAAAAATGCTTATACCTACAAAAAATCTATTTAATAAATGGCAAATGAATGAATGTATTAAAGTCCCACAATCAGCTGTGAACTATCAGTGATAGGTAGGAGATGGGGAGGGTGTCCCTTTCCCAGCAGAAATATCTAACTTGGGTCTCAAATGCTATTGCAAGACTAGTTAGAGGTCGGCCCTCGGCCCTCCATCTCTTATGGGGAATCCGTGACTGTCCAGACACCCAGGAAGCTGCTGTTCCTCTAATTACAACTTCCCAGAATGTAACCTCACCCTATTCAGCCCATATTGATGTCCTTCATATTCTGCAGGTGTTATAAATTCCTAAGCCAGAAGGAGAAATTCAGCCCATGGGCCTGTTTTGTGTTTTATCTGCCACCTGCCACTCAGAAAGCAACATCTTTCTACCAAGTTTCAGAGACATCACATCTTGAGGCTCTGCAGTCTAAAACATCTCAAGTCTTGGAATCAGAGTCAAAGGAGAATTCTGAGATAATTGAGTCAGGAGTGCTCCAGTTCATCCGGCAGGCTTAGCTTCATAGCATGCCAGCTGGCCTCCTTTTCAAAGTGGCCTCCAGCACAGCCCCCATTTTTGTGCCCTTGCCATTCACGCCTCATCCCAAACCCTCTTGCATCTCTCCTCCCAACCTCTGTTCAGCCGCTTAAACTTTTCACCCTTAGTTTGTTTTTTCCCTGTTCAAGATCTCACCTCTCCTCTCAGGTTTGATGACTGATGCTCTTCTCTTCATACAAAATTCATGCCAGTCACTTCTTCATAAGGCATCAAGACTCTGAGTCACAATACCCTCCCGCCCCAACTCCAAATTCAGCAAGCCTGCAACTTGGGACAAGTCCCTGGAGTATGTTTTAAGGCTTTTCGTGCTTGTTCAATAATTTTACATTCCAAGTTTTTATTTTGGAAAACTGACTGTTAATTACAAGTGAAGTTAACATAGGTAAAATGTAACTTGAATATCAAATAGACTTTTTTCTGCATCAGAGTATTTGACAAAATAGGTTTCCCTCAGTGCAGCCTGTCCTTTCTAGAGAACAGATCCTCTCTCAGGCCCAGGACTCCTGCATTCCCAAGATTCAGGTAAACTCAACTTGTCCACCCAGTAGACTATCCAGTGCTCAATCAAAACAGGCCAAGTGGCTGGGGCACGGTGGCTCATGCCTGTAATCCCAGCACTTTGGGAGGCCGAGGCGGGTAGATCATGAGGTCAGAAGTTCAAGACCAACCCGGCCAACATGGTGAAACCCTGTTCTACTAAAAATACAAAAATTTGCTGGGTGTGGTGGCAGGTGCCTATAATCCCTGCTACTCGACAGGCTGAATCAGAGAACTGCTTGAACCCGGGAGGCGGAGGTTGCAGTGAGCCGAGATAGTGCCACTGCACTCCAGTCTGGGTGATAGAGCAAGACTGCCTCAAAAAAAAGAAAAAAAAGAAAAAAGAAAAGAAAGCCAAGCACAGCCTTGGCTGTTACAGAATGGCCCAGTCAAGGCTGTGTTTGGCTATTTAGTGTATGCTCTGAACAATGTCACACATTCATTGTACTTTCAGCCTGGACTCCCGAGAGCGACCTCAGTTCCCCTCAATCATTCCTGTTAAGGATTCGTGCTGATAAGAGATCCTGTTTATCTTCCTAAGTCCTTCATGCTGCAGGTTTTGCAGTTCACAGCTCTGTTAAAATGCCAGTTAACAGATAGCTTGCCCATCCTCATATAACATAATAATCCTCCAGAGACTTGGCACCCATTTGAATGTTCTTTCCTGATTATGTATCTTTCTCCCTCTCTACATTAAGTCTCTCAATCCTCCTAGCTGAATTATAATAAAAAGTCATCCCTGTGCCTTTTGACTTATAAAACAATGTTTCTGCTCCAGGAAATGACTGTTTTTGACACGCTGGGAATGCAGGAGGGGTAGCAGTACTGTCACCCTGGTTCTTTGTGGCAGGAATTTCCATCATCTGTGTCCTGAGGCATGCTGAGTTCCTTAGGGAGGGAAAGAGCAGGGTGAGGAATGCAAAAGAGGAGAGGGCAAGGAAAGCACCTGAACATCCCTCACTGTTGCCAGGTCTTGCAAGGGGCAGGTAGCCAGGGGAGGACACAGAAGTGAAGAGCACCCTGGGGCTAGCAGGCCAACTGACAGCAAGAATTAAAAGCAATGAATGATGCAAGAGCACCATGCACTAGGCAGGCAAAGGTCTAGGGAGGCTCAAATAGAAAAAGGGACACTGCAGTACTGGACCTAGGCTACGCTTTCCCAGCATCAGTCTCTGAGAAATGGGCAAAAGAAGTGGGTGGGACAGAGACCCTTAGCTTCTTCCCCAGGGGTGGGCAAAATGGAACCAGTGCAGGGAGTCCTGTCATGATGAAGTGCAATGCTGCACTGACTGTCAGCAGTAGCACA